AAGAATACGAACATGTTCTTGCATGAGGCCCATTGAAACTTTCTAGAACAACAAAGTGAATGTCTACATATTAAACCATTTTATATTTTTTAACAGTCCAGTCTTTATCATTCTCTTAAATARACATATTGATGTGGCACTTTTAACTTCGTCTTCTAAATTATTCCACAGTCTCACTCCTTGAATTGAGGTGCATCGTTCTTTCAAACAAGTTCTAAATTTAGGTTTCATGAACATCTCTGTTCCCTTCAGATTATAACAGCTCTCTCTCTTTGTAAATTTTTTCTGAGCGTTTAAAGGTGATGCATTTCGGTGTGCTTTATACATAACTAACAAAGTATTATAATCAATCAAATCATAGAATTTCCTTAATTTCAGTTTACAAAATAATATATTGGAGGGATTAAGGTAATTTTTTTGGAGTGATGAAAAATACATTATTTAAGCTGAAAATACAAGCTTAAAACTTTAATTTCAACATCATTCAAAATTCATGTACCTGTTGTACAAAAAAAAACTTAGTTACCGTATTTATTCATGTATAATGTGGTCAAGTAGAATATGTCCCTCATTTTTTGAGCTTAAAAATGCATCAGAAATCACTACTACTGCTGTCTGAACCAAATAGAGTGAGGCTTGACAATAAAGACAAGGCTCAATAAACAAACTTTACTATAGGCCCTGTCACACTACACAACTTGTGCCAATTTATGATTTTTTTTTTACGTCTAAATTGCTAATAAAAGTTATATATTTGATCAATTTGTTAGAATTACATTACGTACACACCAGATATGAAGATTCTTGTTGATTTTTTCAATTCCATCTTCAACATAGATGTATTTAAAATGCTCGTAAGTTGGCATAAGTTGTCTAGTGTGACAGGAAACTGATCATCCAAAAGAGCATTTCAGACTCAGTTTGTTGTGGAATTTACCTAATTTCCCTCTGGGATCAATAAAGTATTTTTGAATTTGAATTTGAATAAAACAGAACCTTTACTGCTGCAACGGGTTTGTCTTTTTCTCAGATGAAACAGGATCAGAAAAGGCAGCAGCAACAAAATACATGAAAACTTTCCAATGTCTCATCTGTGCTTACTTAGCTGCCTTCTTTTTGGCTTTCTTCAGCTTCTTGCTCATTTTTTTGGTCACCTCTTCCTCTGACAGCACCGTGAATAACTCCAGAACTGAATCATTGCCCTGATCCAGAGGAGAAAAACAGTATGTACATTAAAAAAAATACATTAGACCTGAGCCTGCACGAAAGCTTTTAAAATGTCAGGAAATACTGTTTCTGATTAATACAAAACAAACAAACAAACAAACAAGACAACAGATCATTTGATGGCATGAACTGTTTTCAACAAACTTGATACGATGAGTTGGGAACAATTTGTCTTTTTTGGATGATTACTTCATCTCTGTCAGGTTTAAGTTTTACTTTTAAAGGAAAACACAGTGATAGAGTTAAAGTCAGAGAAATCATTTTTTCTGACAACGCAGTGTGAAGGCTAAGTAACTGCTGAAATCAGCTGATCAAGCTAAAATCTGCAGGTAAAGCTAGCTAGCTAAAAGCAGCAAAATGCTAGCTGAAAATTAGTAAAAGACTAGTTAAATTAGCAGAACGGTAGCTAAAATAAAAAAGTCGACAATAATAAAATAAATAAGTTGGAGCAGATTTCAAAGCGAAAATATTTTTAAAGGAATTTAAGCAAACTCCATGCATTTGAAAAACGTTTGTAAAGTACAATTTTGCAAAAGCCACGAGTCTTGGCACTCTTATTATGTCAGTTATAAAAGACTGACTGCACTGACTGTTGGTATTTTTCACTTGATAAGACAGATATATAAACTCTGCAGCACTCACATGGCAGCCAAAGACTCTGGCCCTGGAGTCTGACGTCAGCGAGACGACTCGGTCTCTGGCTTCTCTCAGGATGGAGCCGGCCTTCTTACAGCGCAAGATACGCTAAAGAAAACACATCAAATATTTTCTGAGCTTTTCTGTGAGGAATGCCATATGTTACAGTTCTCTTAAAATCATATTTTTTACACATTTTTCCCCAACAAAGATATTACAGTAGTTACAACTGTACCTCTTCAACACTTTCATCGTCATCTTCTTTCTCATGGTCTTCATCATCCTCATCATCCAGCAGAGTTTTTCCCTTCTTCACTTTGGGCTCACCCTCAGCCTTTTCCTGAGCAGAAATGAAGCCGAGACAATGAGAAACAAGCCTAATGAGCTGTGAAATCACAGGCTGCGCTTTGTGTCATTTACATGTTGTTTTGCACCATTAGGAGGCAAAAATGCACAGAAACTGAATCGTGACATTTTCACAGAGAACAGTAACCCTAAAGTGACCCGGCTAATAAACCCTGTTTAAAGAAAATGTCTGGGTTTATTTCCTTCCCTGATTCACATCTGTTAAATGTAGCATGCTGGGAGTGTTTCATTCCACCATGCTGCTTCAGTTTCTTTCTGTATCTGTTTGTGGGGAGAAAAAGTGAGCAGCTTTGCTTTTCCCTCACCTCCTCCAGGAAGTTGATGTCCCAGGCTCGAAGCTCACTGTCGGCAGAGCCCGTTAACAGTCTGTTCCCCTGGTTCAACAGCACCATACCCCAAACCTAACAGAGACAGAGCTGACGGCTGAGTTTAGTTCAGTCATAAACATGTCGATTACTGGGATGACACGATTTAAAAGTATAAAAGTTAACCAGTGTATGACAAATCATTAATATGTTTTTGTTAAACTCATTTGTTTCTAATTTGCTTGGTGTGAATTACAAAAACACAACTTCTGGTTTTATCTAATCATATTTAAGGAAAAAGAAGAAGGTTAGAGTGAAAATTATGACCTTTAGAAGTTCTATGGAAAGTTTATAAACAATAAATATCTTACCCGTTACAGGTAAGACTTGACTCCACTTTAATTTTGACCAGAGTGACATGCTAACAGCTATTATATAATGGGCAAAAGTTACAACTGGTTAACAACTTTACTTTCAAATATTTTCTTGAAATTTATGCACATTTTTTACACAACAATAAATTATGCACTATCCTGTCATTCTAGCAAAAATAATTATTATAATCCTGCAAAAAGTGACCCCAGGATGCACTTTAGGCGCTAAAGCTAGCTGCTTCTATTTATGATTGCAGTAATGCAGACTTTACTGCAGTGTAAAGATGTACAAATTAGTGTTTGCTTTATTTTTTGTATATAAATAAATGAATAAATAAATAAAAAATACATAAAAAATAATAAAACATAAAAAAATAATACAAATTTTAAATTATAAAAAGATTTTAAAAAATAGTGTTTGCTTTAACTGCATGAACGTTTTCAATTTTAAAGATGTCTTTAAAAAAGGGATGTTTTCAGATGGCAGGTATTGGTCCAGCTTGGACTAGCCATTAAATCATCAGTCCAGTGTAAATTATARTCCATTTCTTTCATTTGAAGCTGTTCAAAGAGATAACTACAACTAGTAAGATAGTATTTGTTCAAAAATTTTCCATAGAACCTCACTACAACAAAAACTATGACTTTAACAGGCTGTCCTCTTCCTAAAAAGTCAGTGTTTTTACCATTTCCAGAGTTAACTGATACAGGATCAAACCTGATCATATTTAAGTGTTAATTTCCTTTTTGCAGCCATCACATCATGAAGCCTTGAGCTTCAGAGAACCAGATGRCAGCAGATGTTCCTCAGTGGCTTCCTGTAGAGCTGCAGAAGATCTCACCTCACTGCGATGGCCCACCATGGTCTTAAAGCAGTGCTGCGTGTCCAAATCCCACCACTTCACAAAACTGTCCTTGGAGCTGAGCAGAGAACACACACAAGTATACTGTTACAAAAAATATTTCAATTATTTTAACTAAGGCTGCGTGGTATATGTGGTAGATGGTGGAAACTGTATGAAGTTAGCCTACGGTAGAAATTTATAATCTACCGTCATATCGACATTACATCATCGCACCTGTGTGAACAGGGCTGCGAGTGCAGAGACAACTGAGCAGGAGTTRGAAATATAATGAAGAKATTTRCTCAAAATTTCCTCCTCCCGCTGTAGAAAAGTTATGTCGTGTCACAGGATCATTTCCTCCTCCTCCTCTCCTCTCCCTCTCCTCACCCTCTCCTCTCCTCACCCTCTCCTCTCCTCA